ACTGGGTAGTGATCTGTGTTTGTTGCTTGGTAAAGATTCAAAATGAAAGGGCATTACACTTGTACTCTCTGAAACTATACTACCTTAAATTTTTATGTTTCAGGCACCCGGGGGGCTCAGTGGGTTAAGCAACTGCCTTCAGCTCAGGTCATGAACCTAGAGTCCCAGGACTGAGGCCCACTTCAGGCTCCCTGCTCAATGGGGAGTCCGCTTCTCCCTCTGACCTTCCCCCCTCTAATGCTCTCTCTCACTTTCAAATAAATAAATAAATAAATACATACATACATATTTAAAACAAATAAGCTTTTATCTGCTCAGTGGGGAGTCCGCTTCTCCCTCTGACCTTCCCGCCTCTAATGCTCTCTCTCACTTTCAAATAAATAAATAAATAAATAATTACATATTTAAAACAAATAAGCTTTTATCTTTCATACTTAGTTTTTGTACTTGTCTCCTTTTGGCCACCTCCCTCTCCATGTTTTTCCACACAAAAAAGTGCTTTTTTTTTTAGGTTTAATGTTAAGTAGACAAATCACATTTCGATCCCTTGGCAACAAAAACATACGTAAAAATGACTTGCTGAAGATTATTCCTTCTTTAAACTGATTACCAGGCTAAAGTTTTAGAAATTCTTAGTAAATCCTCCAAACCGAAAGCTTGAAAGAAAGGGGAAAATACACAGCACTGTTTGCATCCAATGGAATATTAAGGGCACAGCTCAACAGATCCGTATGCATGGGCAGTAAGTGAAAGACGGAAACAAGATACACAGCATATATGTTTACATAAATAGAAACACGTAACTTTGCTTTATACGCAGATTTATAATTTTTTAAAAGATTTATTTATTTACTTCACAGAGAGAGAGGGAGAGACACCACAAGTAGGCAGAGTAGTAGGCAGAGGGAGAGGGAGAAGCAGCTCCCCACTGAGCAGGTAGCCTAATGCAGGGCTCTGTTCCACATGCTGGGATCCTGACCTGAGCCCAAGGCAGATGCTTAACCAACTGAGCCACCCTGGTGAACCTGTAATTTTTAAAGAAATCTCTGAAGACCCAGGCAGCAAACATATCTTAACAGTAGTTGTGTGGAGTCAGAAAAGACTCACTGTATACATTCTATGTGCCTGTAGGGTGTTTTACTTTACACATGAAGAATATATTCATATTGGGAGGTCTGGGGGGCTCAGTCAGTTGAGTGGCTGCCTTCAGCTCATGGGATGGAGTCCCGCATCACACTCCCTGCTCGACGGAGAGCCTGCTTCTCCCTCTGCCTGCCACTCTGCCTGCTTGTGTGCTCTCGCTCTCTGACAAATAAATAAAATCTTTAAGAAAGAAGTTCATATTGTCACCTCTGTAATTTTTTTTAAAAAATACACAGATTCACTCATGCATTTTACTCTTCCTCAGTAAGACTGACTGACAAGCATCTAGACTTATTTACACATTCCTGTATGTGTTCAGGCTCTAATTACCCTACATGTAAGAATTAGCACTGGGCATCTACAAATAGTCTAAATTTTAAGGCAGATATTTATTTTCTGGCTGTGTGACACCTACTATTTAATTGCCTTTTGACAATTATCATTTCCATTCCTCAAGACAGAAGCCCAGGGCTCCAGAGCGGACTCTGGGATGAAGAGAGAATGAGAGTTTCAAACAAACAGGGAATCATTCCACTTTCTTCCAAAGGGTATCCAATTCCACATTTAAACTGTGGTGCAAAGACCACAAAGGTCAAACAACAAAATGTTAGAGTAAGAAAGGTATGACCACGGGATCTCAGAGCCCTCCGGCCTCTCACTTATTATTTCCCAGGTAAGTTTCCTTCTCTCTAGCTCCTTTCTCAAACAAAGTATTTCCCTAAGAATTTCTAACCAAAAGATTGTTTTAGGCCCCAAATTTTGTGCCTCACATAGAAACCTTCAAAGGCAGTTTACTGTCCTCCAGATTACTGACCAAATTAAACCAAAATCCGCAATGATCCAAAATTACAGGAGGCTTGACAATTCTTCTTCATTTGTGTCAAAGTTTATCTGGTAGAAGTACTTACTACAGCTACAAAGAGGACTGTGTTTTTGTTTTTTGTTTTTTTTTAAGATTTTCTTTGTCTCAGAGAGAGAGAGCAAGAGCGCACACAAAAGCAGGGGGAGGGGCAGGCAGAGGGAGAAGCAGGCTCCCCGCTGAGCAAGGAGCCCCATGTGGAACGGGATCCCAGAACCTGGGATCATGGCCTGAGCCAAAGGCAGACACTTAACTGACTGAGTCACCCAGGTGTTCCAAGAGGGTTGTATTTTGAGGACAAGCTGCTGCAAAATTTCAGAGTCACAGAAACCGTTAAAAAAAAAAAAGAGAGGAATGATTATTTAAAATATTTCCTGTCCTCTCAAGTATCTCTATGTTCACAATACAATGTAGACTTTGTTATGTCATAATAACGGACGGATAGCACTGTAAAACCTTGATGTTTTCATTGTCAGTTTCTTTTTCACACACAAACCCTAAAATGATAAGGTATTTGCTATATTCAACACATGCGAGAAAAGCAGGGCCCACTGTGGCAGCACTGAGTGCTAAATCATGGGAACACAGGAACATTTTTATATTCTGTAGTACCCAAGTCTTACTGTAATTCAAGGCTAAACTGGACAGAAAGTTACCAAATCTGATCATGTTCTTCTTACTCTGTGCCTACCAAAAGAAGAAAAAGGTGGATACAAAAACGATAACCCATTTCTATTTAGAGAAAGCTCTCCTGTTATCCAAGGCTTCATTCCTATGGTCACACTGTCGCTGAGACTTCAACCTCAAAAGGCACCTTTGTTTATTTATGGAGATTACAACTCAAACTGAAATATTTTTACAGGAGACTTCATATTATTAAAACCAAAATATACTAAGCCTACAGATCTACTGAGAATCCTACACACCGTGAAAGGTGCATTGTTCATTGTTAAACATCAGGGTTAAACCGTTTGTCAAACCAGCTCTTCCTTGGCTGGGCCACTAGAGAGTGCTAGACATACAGTTATACAGGACCAAGTGATACAAAAATTACGCGCCCTCCCCCTCGCCCCCCCAAATCTGGAGCAGAGAAGACAAAGGGCATTAGGATTCCTGCCTGGTATACCACCAGAAGATTTTGCAACACTGACAGATGTGGAGTTTGAAGTATTTATCACCACCTCTTGTCTGTCAACAGCTCAAGTCCCTTCAAGTGAGTAAGAGAGATGTGCTTCAACAGCTTCCAAACTGAGTAACTGAGATTAAAGGATTAATCCAAGACATTACAGCAAACGAAAAAGTGATTCCTTCCTTTAGGAACAAAGACAAGTTAATAACGACTATTGACTCTTTCAGCTTTGTTAAAAATTTACAGGAGAAGGGGAGGGGAGAGATAAGAAAAACGTAGGGGATTCCTAAAGTTAGGAATCCAATGTGGCGAGGACTCTTACACACACCATATAAACCTAAACCAATACACTAAAGACATGGAGCAGTAACAAGATTATCGCCCAAAGACCACCGGCTTCAGCCACGGTTTTTTTAAGGACCACACAATTCCATTAGCAAGAATCTCCCTTTGATCTTAACAGAAATCATCTCTGATTTTAGTTCATTCTAAGAGGTAATGCTTCCCAACACCATCATTAATAAAAAGAAAGAAAACTGGTTGCTCAATCCCTACAATCTCAGTGGATGTTCGTTTAAAAAAAAAATGTTAAAAAAGCTGCAAGGTAGAAAGAGCGTAACACACCTTTCAGCCTCACTGAACTGCAAAATCGAGTTACACTGTAACAAGATTCAGATAATACCATTACTTTCTGACTTCCACATCATTAATAAGCTTAATGGGACGTTTACCTGAAAATGGTAACACTAAATGTAATTTCCTCAACGTCTCACGGAGGTGATCAGTTTCTTACTAAAGCCTCTTAACGGAGAAGGCAAGCCACTGTCCAACCTTCCCATCAAACCGATCTTTTAAAAATCCACTTCTCCATGGGGCGCCTGGGTGGCTCAGTGGGTTAAAAACCCACTCCTCCGTAGCTACAAGCAATTCTCCAAAAACACATCGTGCTGGTAACGAAATGGCTTTCCCAGATACAGGTGGCTCGACTTGCTCTATTTCCAACCACTCAGCACTTCTCACCCCCTCCACCCACGTCCGGATCTGAAATGGGGCGGGGCGATGCCATCTCGCTGCGTTTGCTCCTGCAGACCCTGGAGTCCGTGGTGTGGTCTGCCCAAGCACCACACAGTTGTAGCTTCACCCTAACAACTCCCGGCCGAGACACACGGTTCCGTTTCCCTGACGCAGGTAAGCCTTCATTCACACTCCACATTAATGGGTGCTCAGTATGGTGGCAGGGGACGGACCCACAGCAAACCACCCAACGTGCCCCGGAGTCTTTGTCCCTTTTCTCTGTCCCAAGTCTTCTCATTGCCCCCATTCCCTGCCCCCCGCCGAGCCCTCCCCCGCGCCGGAGGGTTCCTGGGTAAGGCCTAGTGCTGGAACCTCGGACACCTTCGTCCTCCGTACCAGGTTTCCACCGCCACCCGGGAGGAGAAAACCGCCCCCTTCCTAGAGCCGCCCTTGCCCACCCCCAGAACTGGACCCGCCCCAAACCCCGCCCCTGCTCCGTCCCCACCCCCGCAGTGGAGCGGGGGAGGAAGACGGGGGAGGGGAGGAGAGGCCGCGGGAGCACCAAGGCGGCGGCGAAGGGGAGGAGGAGGGGTAAAGGAAGGGGGAGGGAGAAAGAGGGTAGGGAATAAGAAAGGAGAAGAGCCCTCTCGGCGCCCCCCCCCCCGCCCCCACCGCCGGCGAGCGCAGCCCGAGGAGGGTCCGCAGGAGGCTAACAAGCCCTCCCTTCCTTCTCCTCGCCCCCAACAGGGCCCAGAAGCCCCCCCCCCCCACTTGCTGGGCAGCGCTGCAAAAGAGCTGCTCCCCGGCTCCTAGGTCAGCCCGCAGTTTCCCGGGAGGAGAGGGGGGGGGTCGCACCTTGCGCTTGCGAGCCTCCGCCGTGCCGCTCCACACGAAGCACTGATAGATGGCCCGCAGGTTCTGCTTCCAGTTGTCCACCTTGAAGCTGCTCAGGTGCGAGCAGCCCGGCGGCGTCACCACCAGCTCCGCGTCCATGGCCTCGGTCTCCGGCTCGGGCCGGGAGACCATGGGGGGTAAGGCCCGGCCGCGCGCGGGGGGCGGCGAGGGGGACGAGGACGACGCCAGCGCTGCGCGGGGGGCTGCTCGGCGGCGCGCCCCAGCCCACGAGCGCGGGGAACAAAGCGCGGGCAGCCGCGGGGCCGGCGGACAAAGACCCGGCTGCGCGGACGCCCAGGGGGAGGCGGCGGCGATCCAGGCGCCGCCCGCGCAGCGCTCGCCGGGTTCGCGGAGCGCGGCGCGGGGCGGGGCGCGGAGGCCGCAGGCGGAGGTTACGTCATCCCCGGCCGGCCGCGGGAGCCGCACTGCGCAGGCTCTAGCCGCTCCCGGGTCCGCCCCGCCGTCCGCCCCCCCCCCCCGCCCCCGACACCCGGCGCCCGCCCCCCCCGCCGCCCCCGACACCCGGCGCCCGCAGGCTGCGGGGCGATCCGCGCCGAGCGCAGGGCGAGGGAGTGCAGCCGGCCGGGGCCCGCCCCCGCGCTTAGGCCAGCGGGGGTCGTTAGCTGTCAGTACGGGCCGCCGGGTTCAGAGAGGCCTCCCGGGAAGCTGGCCACTTGTCCTTCCCGGTCCCCTCGGAGAACTGCGGAGGCGGGGGGCAGCCGAGGATTGGGCGACGCGGACTGTCCGTCGGGGCACTGAACCGGTTTGCACTGGCCTGAGCTCTGCCGCAGAGAGGCGGAGCAACGGGCCGGGCCTTGCAAATCCGTGCAGTCTCTCTGGGCCTCGCGATCCGTGCTGAGCCCTAACCTGGGCTTTCCCACCCCAGGCGATGCTGTGCTGGCTCGCTGTCAGTTTTGTTGGCGACGGGAGTCCCTCAGCTGGGGCTCTGCAGGCCTCTCCCATGTTTATGGCCTGTCTGGGAGTTGCTGGGCATGGAAATGATTACGACCATATCCTACTGTGAGGAATCCAGAATGGATGCCATATGATTTCGCTCACTCAGAATTGAAGAAACAAATGAACAAAGGGGGGAAAAAAACCCCACAAACCCCAAAACCCCAGACTCTTAGAAAAAACTGGCAGGTGCCCGAGGGAGGGGGGGTTGGGTGCTTGGGTGAAATAAAGGGGAATAAGAATATACTTAAACTGATGAGCACTGAGAAATATATAGAATTGTTGAGTAATTGGATTGTACATGTGAAACTAATATAACATTTTTTAAAAGATTTTATTTATTTGACAGAGATCACAAGTAGGCAGAGAGGCAGGCAGAGAGAGAGAAGCAGGCTCCCTGCCGAGCAGAGAGCCCCACACAGGACTCGATGGGAGGACCCTGAGATCATGACCTGAGCGGAAGGCAGAGGCTTAATCCACTGAGACACCCAGGTGCCCCCTAATATAACATTTTATGTTAATTATACTTCAATAAGAAAAAATCCCAGAGTGGAATGTCAGTTGATGCAGTCACTGTGGAAAACAGTATGGAGGTACCTCAAACGTTAAAAATAGAAATACCACATGAGCCAGTAATCCCACTACTGGGTATCTACCCAAAGAAAATAACACTAACTCAGGGATATATGCACCCCTCTGTTTATTGTAGCATTATTTATAATAGACATGATAAGAAGCAACCTAGAAGTCAATCAATACTTGATTGGATAAAGATGAATGATGACTGGGTAAAGATGTGGTATATATACACAATAGAGTATTACAGCCATAAAGAAGAGTTAGAGGATACCTGGGTGGCTCAGTCCTTAAGCCTCCGCCTTTGGCTCAGGTCACGATCCCAAGATCCTGCCATCGAGCCCCACATGGGCTGCCTGCTCAGCGGGAAGCCTGCTTTGTCCACTCCCACTCCCCCTGCTTATGTTCCCTCTCTTGCTATGTCTCTGTCAAATAAATAAAATAAAATCTTAGGGAAAAAAAAAAAAAGCATAAGAGCTTGTCATTTGGGACAGCATGGATGGACCTAGAAGGTATTAGGCTAAGTGAAGTAAGTCAGACAGAAAGACAAATACTATATGATTTCACTTATATGTGGAATCTAAAAAACAAAACAGACAAAAAAGAAACAGACCCATAAACACAGACAACAATCTAGGGGTCGCCAGAAGAGAGCGGGAGATGGGAGGGGAAGTGCAAAAAGGGGTGAATGGAAATGGGAGGTACAGGCTTCCAGTTATGGGGATGAAAGTTACAGCATAGGGAATAGTTAATGGTATTGTAATAGGGTCAGTATAGTGGCAGAGGGTAGCTACACTAGTGGTGACCATAGCATAATGGATAGAGTTGTGGAATCATTATGTTGTATGCCTGAAACTAATGTAACATTGCGTGTCAACTCTGCTTGAATGAAAAAAAAAAATCCCACAAAGTAGTGGGGTAAGTACCAACAGTAGCAGGCAATTACAGTAATATGAGATTGCAGAGATAAAGGAAAGTCCAGGTAACATGAAAACATTCCAAGACACATTTACCCTAACCCTGCCTGGAAGTCATAGTGGAGGGGATCCAGAAATGTTTAGTATGCCTTACATAAGCATAAAACGATGAGTAGGAGTTGGCCAATTTTCAAAAATAATTGACATGGTGAGGGATTTGCCTTAAGCCAAATTTCCCACCGTCCATGGGACTAACATAGTCTAAAATGTTAGTCTCTCTCTATTTTTTTAAATTTTTGTTTTCCAGCTTAAAGGAATTTAAAACACCCATGGAATTGTGCTTCCAAGATGGTCAAGTAATAGCCTACGTGAATTCTCCCTCTGATAACAACTATGATCTCTGTACAGGATACAAAAATAAACACCTGAAAACATTGGAGAATAAACCAAATCAAGCAGATTCAGGAGGGAGCAGACCCTTGGAAGACAGGATTTGCCCAAAGGAAGTAACCTACTTTTTATGGCTTATAGACTGAGGACAGGCTACACTTGGAGAAACCCATGTAGGGAGACTAAAACTCTGACAAAAGACCCCCCCCCCCACTTTCTGGACTGAGGAAGCAGAAGAAGAGTACAGAATAAACCACTGAAAAGTGAGGAGAAAGAAGGGGGGCCCCAGAGTCTATGCATGAACTACACTTTGACCACTTAGCCAGTCATGACTAATTCCAAGCCACCCAAGTAGAACCAAAAAAAGTGAGCAGAGATTAAAGCTGCTGCCCAAGAAAGAGTTAAAGTCTAAGTTAGTGCCTTTTAAAAACAAAAATATCAACTCTCTTTGGAGGTATTTAACAAAACCCATAATTAAGAAATAGAACATTTATAACATTCAAGTTATGATCCAAAATTATTTGACATATGAAGAAAAATATGAATATATGATTCATTGCCAAGAGATAAGACAGTCTGTGGTGAACAACCCTAAGAAGCATGAGGTGTTAAAATTAGCAGGTGTTGGGGGGCCTGGGTAGTTCAGTGGGTTAAGCCTCTGCCTTCAGCTCAGGTCATGATCTCAGGGTCTTGGAATCAAGCCCTGTGTTGCTTCGGGCTCTCTGCTCAGCAGGAAGCCTGCTTCCTTGTCTCTCTGCCTGCCTCTCTGCCTACTTGTGATCTCTCTCTCCGTCAAATAAATAAATAAAATCTTTTAAAAAATAAAAATAATATTAGCAGGTGAGGACTTCAAAGTGGCTATGATAACTGTCCTTGGTGAAGTAAAGGACAATATCCTTGAAATGAATGAAAAGACAGGAAACAGCAGCAGTGAACTATTAAGTAAACTTGGAAATAGATCAATTGAAATGATCTAATCAAAACAAAGAAAAATATTGAAAAACTGATCAGAGCTTCACACACCTGTGAGACAATATCAAAAGGCCTGAAGTATGTGTGATTTAAGTCCCAGAAGGAGAGGTGGGAGAATATGAGAGTGAAAATATATTTGAAGAAATCATGGCAGAAATTTTCCCCAGTTTGATGAAGGATATAAATGTACAGATTCAAAACCGCTATTGAATCCCAAGTAAAATAAATGTGAAGGGGAACCTGGGTGGCTCAGTCAGTTAAGTGTCTGCCTTCAGCTCAGGTCCAGTCCTGGGATCAAGCCCCACTTCTGGCTCCCTGCTCGGCAGAGTGTCTGCTTCTCCCTCTGACCTCCTCCCCTCTCGTGCTCTCTCTCACTCTCTCTCTCTCTCAAATAAATAAATAAAATCTTAAAAGAAAAATAAAATAGAAACAAAAAAAAATAAATGTGAAGAAAACATGATGAGGCACAACACAATTTACTAAAAACAAATAATAAAGAGGAAATCTTGATAGCATCTGAGAAAAATAAGACATTATATACAGGAGAACAATGATGTATTTTTTAAATCGGAAAACTTGGAAGCCAGAAGACAGTGGAACAACATTGAAAAAAAGTACCAAAAGACACTTAAGTATTGCAAAAGTCAGGATTTCTTTTTCTTTTTTATTTTTTAGAAAATATTTATTTATTTATTAGATAGCATGCACCCAAGTGGGGGAGGGCAAAGGTTGAGACTCTCGAGGAGACTCATGGGTCCCAGGGCTGGATCCCACGACCCATGAGATCATGACCTGAACTGAAGCCAAGAGCCAGATGCTTAACTGACTGAGCCACCCAGCTGCCCCAGGATTTCTTTTTTATGGCTGAATAATATTCCATTATATTTGTAGAGATGCACCACATTTTTGCTGTGTTCAATGGAATACTATTCAGCCCTTAAAAAGGAAATCCTGTCATCTACAAAAACATGGATGGACCCTGAGGGCATTATGCTAAGTGAAATAAGTCAGAAAGGACAAATACCATATGATCTCATTTATAGGGGTATGAAAAAAAAAACCAGAAAATTAAAAAAAACAAAAACAAAAAACTCACAGATACAGAGATTAGATTGGTACTTACCAGAATCGGGGATGGAGGGTTGACAAATTTTTATGGTGATAGATATTCATGAAACATATTATCATACTCATTCTGCAATATATACTTACACCAAATCATTTTATTATACACTGAAAATTAAGGTTATATGTCAAATATGTCAATTTAACGACAATAAAAATAGCACACAGTAAGGTTTTATTTAACTTATTAACAAGGGAACAACAGGAAGATATAGAAAAGTCAAAAGATCACATGGGAAAATGGGATTTTTTTGGTTAGTGGGAGAAAAGGGAACAATGAGATAAGGTTTTCTAATTATTACTTTAAAACTTGGTTAATGTCCTAGAGCAGTGGTTCTCAAACTGGAGCATACGA